AGGTGTTAATTAAAATCACAGCAAAATGGGAATCAGGTGAGAAGCCACAAGCTGCCACGTGCCCCGGCAAGGGAGGGGACGCGCCGAGGGGTTGCTCTGCTCCCTCTCCTTTGCCCTTGCCCTCCACTGCTTCCAGCTCCCAGGGGTTTCAGAGGGCAGTTCCACCTCTCCAGCCTCCGCCACTGACTCGGCACCAGGAAAACATGCCGGCTGGGCAGCACTTGGTCCCTTTTCCCTGCAAAAATGATGCTCATGGCACCAGGGACCTGAATCTGCCCTGGGGACGCGTCCTCCCCCAGCCCACACAGCAGCAGCCTGTGCTGCCCACCGCTACCCTGTCCAGAGAGGGGCAGCGGGGCCAAGAGGGCACAGAAAACCGGAGTGAGAGGGAGGAAATGAAACGGGAAAAGTCTCTGCTCCCCAGCAGCGCAAGAGGTTTGCAGACCAACTCTTCCCACCACGATTCCCAAGCTGACAGGACCGGAGAGAAGCATCCCTCCCTCTTAGGATGTGTCAGCCTCTCTCAGCCCCCTTCCTTGCAGCCCACATGGCCGCCAGCCAGACCTCTCCCCTCCTCCCTTACCTTTTCCGCCGACTGCGACGTCCCAAAAAATATAGGGATGAAGGCTAACCACACAATGCAAGTAGTGTACATGGTGAACCCGATGGGTTTCGCTTCGTTAAAGGTCTCCGGGACCCCGCGGGTCTTAATGGCATACACAGTGCAGGTGACCATGAGAAGCATGCTGTACCCAAGCAAACAGATGAGGGAGAGGTCCGAAATGTCACATTTGAGGATGCCCCGGGCAAAGTGGGGGTTTGTAGTCCGCTGGTCCTCGTAGTCAATGACAGAGTGGGACGGGTCCACGATGAACCAGATGCAGACGCCCACGAGCTGCAGCGAGATGAGGCTGAAGGTGATGACCAGCTGGGAAGCGGGGCTGATGAACCGGGGGGCACTCACCGACTTCTTGCCCTGCTCGAAGATGCGGTAGATGCGGTTGGTCTTGGTGAGCAGGGCGGCGTAGCTGATGCTCATGCCGAGCCCGAGGAAGATACGTCGCAAAGAGCACGTGCTCAGGTCGGGCTCGGCGATCATGAGGAAGGTGGTGGCGTAGCAGAGGAAGATGCCCGTCAGCAGGACGTAGCTCAGCTCCCGTCCCGATGCCTTGACGATGGGCGTATCGTTGTAGCGCACAAAGGTGACCACCACGAAGAGGGTGGCGATGATGCCCACGATGGCGATGAAGACAGGCACCACAGCCCAGGGTGAGCTCCACTCCAGCTTGATGATGGGGATGGGGGTGCAGCTGGTGTGGTTCTCGTTGGGCCGCTCATTGAAGTGGCACCGCTTGCAGTGGAACTCGTCCAGCTGGTACTGGTAGCCGTCGCAGCGCTCGCAGTGCCAGCAGCAGGGAATGCCCTTCACCAGCTTCTTCCTCTCGCCCGGCTTGCAGGGCAGGCTGCAGATGGAGCTGGGGAGCTGGCTCCCGCCCCCCGGCCACAGCATGTTCTCCACCTGCGAGGTGAGATGGCATGAGCCCCACTGATGCTCGAGCTGGGCATCTCTCAAGCATCCTGGGGCATGGGGGATGCCCCGCTCTGCCAGCAGCAGTGTTGCCCGGATCCGGCCCCTCGCCCCATCAGTACATCCCATGAAGGACCCCAGCCCTACCCAGCATGGGGACAGGGAGGTGGTGAAGCTCTCCATCGGCCTTTTGGGAAGATTCAACACCAGAAACCCAAAACAAAGTCCCTCCTTCCCTGGGAAAACACCCTCTGCTCCGTTCTGACTTCTCCCTTCCCTTATCAGAGCTGCAAAGTCGGATGCCCAGAGCCTGTGGGATACGGTCACACGCGCTGATGGTGGGTCACCGTGGTTGAACCACAAGTGTGTACTCGGGGGACACCCTCCCCTCTGACCCCCACCAAGTCTGGCTGCCCAACTCCGCACCCACGGGCTCCCTGGCTCCCAGCCAGGTTTGCTAAACCCTACGTGGTCTCAATGGGCGCAGGAGAAATCTGCAGGACCTTCCCCTTGGCACGGACCATGCACGGCCATGCCGCAGGCACCAGCCAGCCCCCAGCCTTACTTTTAGGTGGAGGTGGTCGGTCCATTGTCCGATGACTTTGTACTCAGGAGTGGAGTTCCGGATCTGGTACTGGTAGATGTCGTAACGTCCCGGCGCGTCTCCGTTCTCATTGAACGTCACGGGAGTCCCAGCAATGCCTGCAAGACAGGGAGGGCTTGGCACCCGCAGCACCCAGCAGCGCACGTGATGGTGTCGAAGGGGGGGCTCCGGTTCGATGCTTCCCCCTTGGCGTGGGGTTTCTCACTGCTGGGAGTGCCACAAGCTACCAGGACGGTGCCAGCGCGGGCACAGGGTGGGGGAAGCAACCAGGGAAGAGAAAACCAACCCCAAACCCAAGCTGGCACAGTAGTGCCCCACAGACCCCCCCAGGAGCCAGAGCTCACCGGGCAACGCCAGGCACCGAGCGCTGTTACACCAGCCAGTTTACTGCCTCTTTTAAATAAAGGGGGAAAAGCAGCTTTAAAGTTAAATCAAGTGAACTGTGCAGATAAACACTAATGAAAGGAAGGAAGAGAAAATCAAGCAAGAGGGAAAAAATAAATAAAAGAGACACTGCAGAGGAGATCACAGAGTGGAGATAAATAGAAGTAATAGGAGGACAAGACAGAAAATGTTTATTAAGGAGATAGAGCAGAGGAAAAGATGCGTTTCCAGGGGAGATCTGAAGACAGACAAGGACACAGCGCGGAATTAGGCGGGCCCTCTGCCAGCCGTGATGCGAGGAGGCGGCGGGGGAGCGGGCGAGGGGAGAGGCCAGGCGGGCAGGACGGCAGGGTGAGGGCAGGATTGCTGCCAGGTTACTCTCCAAAGGCTCCCAGGAGACGTGGAAGCTCAGACCTCCTTGTCCGCTGATCTGCTGCAAAACCACCCCCTCTTTGCACCCAGCATTTGCAGTGCGGCGGGTGTCCAAGGGTAACGTGAATAAATTGTGGGTGCTTCTGCGTGACCCATAACGGGGGACAACCTGGGACACCCAGCCCCGTGGGGCTGTTCCTCCCCACTGCCCCGGGGACGGACAGACCTGAGAAGTTGACGTTGCGGATGTACTTGAGCAGCTCCACGCCGTCCACCGGGTCCATCCGGGGGCACAGCCCCACCTTGCCGGGGCACAGGTTCTTGTGCATGTTGTGCAGAGCGTGCCCCATGGCGTAGACGGCGTCGATGACAAACTGCACCTTGCCCTCCTGCTCGTACGAGGAGTCCTGGCCGATCCGCTCTC